TCCTTGGATGGGAAAGATTTCAAAAACCAAGGCTCAGTTACATTGCTGGTGTTTGTATGCATGTGATAGTATTTTAATGCATTTCCTAATTTTATTTCATTATTTATTGGCTTTTTCTCTCTAAGGTCCTTTCATCTAAGTTATGTTCCAATAAGAACAGTCCACCCATTAAAACTGTACTTTCATTCTTAGTTGGGGGGGGGGGAAGCTCATGGTGCAAGGGACCTCTGGTTTTCAAATGAGCTTCCTTGCCAGGAGTAAGAAAAAAAATTGTACATACTGTATTCACATTCAATTATTAGAAATATTTTCTAAAAAAATAGATCATTTGATATAGATTTGGTTTCACTAGTTACTACACCATCTTTCAATCGCTGGTTGTTGCAATAACCCCAATTGCGAGTGTAATATTTGACCACGTACTCGCGCGCCCTAGAGGCAAAATGGCGGCGTTGTCCTGAATATGTCAAAGGTGCTCATACCAGTCACAAAATAATTCAGGCTCGGAAAATTTAATCGAGATGCCCGTAAAGCAAAACTGCTACAACTAAGCACACACAGCCTGAGATAGAGAGCACCAGAAACTCGAGGAGAAAATGTATATTCCGACTGCAGATGAACTGCTGCATCGCTCATGCACTACCGAACATTCTTCTTCACATGAATGAAGGGGGTAAGTTTCTAAAGAAACTGTGGGAGAGTATAGCAGGTAATTTAGTGTTAACAACTGAGTTGAAAACGTAAATTAGCCATCGTAAAGGGTAAGCGTTAGCCTTTCGTCAATCACTCCGACGAAGGGCTAACGCTCGAAACGTCAGCTTTTTTACCCTATACGGTGGCTATTCTTCCTCACAGTTTAGGCGTTTTTGCATCTTCCGAACCAGTTTAAGATTACACTGAATGAAAAAAACATCAAAGCGACTGAAGGAGAGATGGTTCACTTACTGCCATTAAAAAAGCCTCCATCACCTCATCAAGAGCCCGAGCACAAACTCGCAGACGTTCCGCAGCTCAGCTCAGTTTGACCAACAGCTCCACGGCTAATCGATCAATATAAGTTTCTTTTGCTAACGTGGTAAGAGTAACGTGGAACGAACAGCAACGAACACAAGAACGACTGGGTGACAACGAGTCACTTGAAATCGAGTGGCTCTGGGGACGAGAATAATGCCAATCTTTATGTCAGCGGGCTTGCCTAGAAGGGTATGTCTGATTCTTCGAAAAATGCGTACGCATGCGTTAAGTAAACCCGCTGGACGGTTCGCTGGTCGCATTTGACTCCTCTCTCGCCATTACTAAAGAAACCCTCTGGAAGTAAATTTGAACACTCTGACAGGAGTGTAGACCTTATTGTTATCAACTGTCCGTGGATTGTTGATCTCAGGACCTCAGAATGGATCCAAGAGGTGCTCCTATTAACTGTACAGCAGGAGCTGTGCCTGTGAAAAATGAAAAAGGTTTGTCGACACACGTTTGTCCAACACAATGAGAATTTAGGCTGAAAGTTAACTACTTATTTAACGAAAAATGACACATTTTGGGTTTTCATAGGAGAGTTAACGATGAAGAAGGTAAAAGTCAGCAGATATGTGGCCGGTAAACGGTGAGATATTTCATTCTACATTTGGCAACGACATGTAAACCGTAAATAACGTATTGTTAGTAGATTTGCATGCCTTCTTCGAGTCTGCTGTAGTTACATTTAGCGTATACCAAAATTCCGTTTTGTTCGATTTCAGGCCTGAATATGCTAAGTATTCTAGCGATGAAGAAGATGAAGACGATGGATTATTGGGAGAGCCTTTTGTCAAAGAACGAGAGCTCAATGAACAAGAAATTGACAAAGTAGGTGGTAGTATATGTCTTTGACGATTTCCCAAAGAAATCTTATCACGACTTCGATAGAGTTTACGTTCATTTTTGAGGGCACCAAGAAATGAAAACTGGAAAATGTGACAATAAAACAGTTCGAACAATCACATGACAGGCTAAAATATGTTTCAGACTACCAAAAGCTGCATTTAAGCCTACAAAATGTGCCACAATGCCCAACAAAGTGATGATTACTATTTGTAATGAATTTGTTGTGGAAACATCACAGAACAAGTGATTGGATGTTGCGTTATTCTTCACCAATAGGCAATTAAAGGGGTAATCTTTGAATCTGTTGTCTGTTCTTGTCTGGTCATGGAGAAAACAGGATGATATTGTGATGGAGCCTTGACTCAGTTGGTGATGAACCAATGCTCTGGCAAAGAAAATTTTAAATAATAAGCTATCATTAAAAGTGATTGTGACGCATATGTGCATTTGTGGTACTACACCTTGAGGTAATTTTCAAAATAGTTCTTTCCTCGATGCTTTTGATTAAAGCCTGGGACCTTCTAGGCAATAAATCACAGTAACAGGTGTCTTTAGGAAACACATGTGGACTCCTTCCAAGTAGATTTGATGTTACTAGTTTTATCACTGCAATATCCACGAAGATTCAGACTAGTTGGACTATGGAAAACATGGCACAAGGACAAAGTTTAAAAAATCAGACCTCTGAGATTTTTGCAAAAAGTTTCGATTTCTAACAAAACAAATGTTCCTCAACACTTTTTCATTTGTTATGTCCTAGCATCTACTAAAATGAATCTGTATGTTTGTCCTGGAAGGTGTATGTGATATGAATCTATATTAATTTCTATGTAAATTGTCAAGGTTTTCCAGAAGGCAGAAAAGACTGACAGGAGGTTGCGGAGACTGCAGGAAAGAGTGAAAGATGAAGATGAGGAAATGTAAGTTGTGCTAGTGTTACCATAACCCTACATGATGAACTTGCCATCTGAAAGGGATGATTACTGATCAGACATGGAGATTAGTGTATTAATCATAACTGTTATAGTTTAATGTGATCGGTGGATTAGCCGCTTTATCTTTCACCAATTATTCTAATTATTTTTAGAGTTATAATCGGACAATGTAATCACATTTATCACGTAAGCCCTTTTTTTCAATTGAAATGGTTATGATTAATTGGTAGCAGGACTTGGTGTAGTCCATTTCTGTCTGTAATCATACTTGTGATTGACAAGTCAGATTCCCACTTGACAGTCATCCTATTTTGTCAATCACTTGTGTCTTAACAGAACAAATTTGATTATACACAGCCCCATTACTATTATTAATTAAAATTATGATGGTTGTCCCATGTTTTTTTTTTACCACACAGATTATCTTTCCCTTATAAGGTGACAAATTAAAAAAAAAGATATTGAGTTATTTATGTTGTTTCTTTCAAATGCTTGGGTAATCACCTTTGATTGACTGTTGTTTTATTCCATCTAAATGAGGGGAAAGGGGCAACCCTCATGATTATTGTTATGCCTCCCAATGTCTGAACACCCAAAAAATCTCACTTTTTTATGTTCACTATTACACATTGAAAGTATTATTGGGCTTTTTGTGAATTTGAGTTTTCAAGATCACAACTAATTAATATTCTTGAAAAAATTGGGACCAGAGAAAAAAGTCCAGATAATCAAATGGTCCGGATAATCGGGGTTTGACTGTACAAACATCTGAGATAATATATGGCATGTGGGATGAAAGATTACACATCTCACAGGGGAATTGGCTGCCATAAGTGTAACCATTGTGTGAGTAGTATCAATGCAATCCATCAAGGGTTAGGTTTTCTTTTCTTTGTCAAAAGAATATACAGTTGTAGAGAATGAAAGAGTGATTTTAAGTTCTTTTCTTCAGGGATGAAGGGCACAGACGCCGTCCTCATGAACCAGAAGTGATTGCCATGGGGGATGAAGAAGCTTCTGGGGAAGAGGTACTTTTTTTTTTTTCTTATGGTGACAAATGGTCCAGATTCTTTAATATTTATTTCTACAGCTCTATATTGTTTTTCAAGATAATTTTGCAGTTTCTACTCCCTCTGTGTGGGTACCATTTATGCAGGATCCAATGGAGACTAATCCAAGGTTACCAGAATTTAAAAACTAACAATGTTTTTCATCTCAGTTGATTGTACTGCAGTGGTCCAGTCTCATACTAAGGTTCAAACAAAAAATTATTTGGATGACCACAGCTTAGATTTTCAAGTATGCAAATTACTGTTTCTTGTAAAATTTTTGTTGCTTTTATTTCCTATGCAAATGTGTATATTTGGCATTGAATTCACAGGAGAGAATGTGAATCCCACTTTGTTTAAGAATTATTTGTTTCCATTAGCCATGCAGAAATTTGGTGTGGCAAGTTGAAATTTTTCTTTGAGAGAAAAATTGTAACTTCATCAGAACAGCATTTTGTAGATTTAAATGGGTTGAATGAGATCAAGCTAAGTGGATTTGTTTTTTTTCCCTATTTAAAATGTACGTTGATTTATCTATAGCTGTGAAGTAAGCTAGTCTAATTTAATTTTCACTTGAATTTGTTTGATGAAACACAAGTGTACATTGTATGTGTTTACTGCTGATGCAAACACCACATTGTACAACCTTTTGTGATGTTTGTCTTGTTAAAATATGTTTTATTTATCCTTAGAGTGACAGAGAACAGAGAAGACGGTTGCCAAGGATGGAAGAGAGTAGGTTAGTGTTGTTTGTTTTGTAATCATTTTCAGGTCATTAGAATTTGTGACAAGTGATTTATGGCAAAGTTTACAAGTACATCTATCAAAAGAGTGGTCAAAATTGACCTAAAATCAATGAAATTAAACATTTTGAGGTCGTACTAAAAAGAAAAATTATTTTCATCCTTTCTAGTGATGAAGAAGATCTGGATGAAGAGGTTAGTGTTGTAAACTTGTTGTTTTCTATATTAAGTGCACTCTTCAATTAAGCAGACACAGATACCCAAGTTAACCACTAGGTTACTTCAAACCTGAACTAAGCAAATAGCATAATGAGGTACAGTCGAACCTCGATTATCCGGACATCGATTATCCGGACTTTTCGATTATCCGGACTTTTTCTCTGGTCCTGTTTTTTTTCATGAATATTAATGACCTTAGATGTTAAAAACTTTAGGAGGTAAAAAAATTCAGAAATTATGTTAAAAGTCAGGAAAATTGTGTTTAAAACAGCGCATTACATGCTCGGCTTTCGAAAGATCGAGTGCTCGGAGACAAAAAAAAACAAGAAGCATTCTAATGCGTTCAGCTGAATTTTGATTGGTTCAGTATTGTTTTGTTGCCAAGGTAATGTCATGCTTGATCAGTTCAATGAGCGTGGGTTATGTAAACACACGAGACGATCATAACTCAATTGTCTCATTAATATTCATATTTTCGATTATCCGGACTCTCGATTATCCGGACTATTTACCCTAGTCCCACCGAGTCCGGATAATCGAGGTTTGACTGTATATGTGTGCCAATTCCATCATCTTACAATAAAGGAAAAACTGCTGATTAGCCATGGGGATATGTTTAACTGGGGCCCAGTATGCAATTTACACCTTTGTAAATTTGTTGTTTGGCAATGAGCTGTTTGCTTAATCCTGTAGACACCCTTTAACTCCCATGGTTCACCAATACATAATTTACCTTTACAGTGTCAGTACAACATCATACAGATATTGTACTGACATTGTACAGAGTGCAGAGAATAAATAAAAATATCAGCTTAGGGAATGATCAGTTCATCCAATACCAAATTCTCAGAACTGACACAAGAAGAATTGTATGGCAGACAGTAAGGAGTATTAGTAGCCAGATATTGGGAGTGAAATGGTTAAGCAGTCATAAGTAATGGTAATAGGACCAAGTAGAGTCCATTTTGGTCTGTAATCATATGAGTGATTTACAAAATTGGACAACTCTGAAGCTGGAGTCTGATTTGTCACAACTGGACAACATTTAGTCCTGTTACCATTACAATTTCAGAAAAAAAAATTCCCTGTTTTTTTGGAAGACAACAGCAGTACATTTGAACAGAATGATCAGAAACATCTCATGCACTAATCACATTTGAGACAATTGTATGTAAAGTAAAAAGCAGGTTTTGTTGTACTGTTGCAAGAACAACATTGAAAACTTCCTCTAACATCAGAAGTCTCTTGCATGAATTAAAATGTAACTTCTCTTCACAAGTTTTTTGTTGTCTCTATATTCAGTAAACACAATTTATGCAGGTTTTGTTGTACTGTTGCAAGAACAACATGGAAAACTTCCTTTTAACATCAGAAGTCTCTTGCAGAATTAAAGTGTAACTTCCCTTCACAAGTTTTCTGTATTCTCCATATTCAGTATACACAAACTACTCATCAAACTCTCCAAACCTATTTACAAGTAAATGTATATGAAACAAAGGGGAGATGGGGGAATTACTAATTTGATCCTGAAAGTTTGCTATCAAACTTTAAAATATTTTATATGTACATGTAGCATTCATGTGTGCATTTGTTATAATTTCATCCCTATTCTATCATCTTTTAGGCAACTGAGAGAAGAAGAGCAATGCTCAGGGAAAGAGCAAGACAAAGAGAAACTGAAAAGGTGAATTCACAGTTACTTTTTAATCAGTAAAGTGTTTCAAAAGGTCTCCTTTCTATAGTTGCTTTTAAAGTGTTTTAAGTAAATTACAGATGGAAATGCACATTGAAATCCCATTTACACCCTTTGAAAGAGATTTAATTGTTTATAACCTAAATAGAGGCCATGTGTGAAGAGGGTGTGTTTCTTTAACCATAAGTCATCAGTTAAAATGATGCTTATGGGGACTATGTGCTTCAGCAAGAAGCACACCTGCTGCAGATTGTCAAGCTTCTAAGGATTTCACTGTAACTCAAGGGTTTAAATCCTGTACAGGCCTGAATTTTTTTCCAGCCTTATTTTCACTACTCATTCAGTAGTATTCATAACAGCAAGCATCACTTCTATATTTGTTTCTTCAACCTCAGTGCACTTATATGATTTTCACATATTTACAGTCATATATTCTCCACTTGGAGGGTTTTTTGTAATCAACATAATAACCAGCTCCCAATTGGCCTGTTAGCTCAGTTGGTAGAGCACTGCACCAGTATTATGGAGCTCATTGGTTCAAATCCCATACAGGCCTGAATTTTTTTAGTTCAGTAGTATTCATAACTATGAGGATCCCTTCTATATTCAGAGGGAGTGTTAAATCAGAAGATGGGAAGGTCTGCTGTTCAACATCTTGCAGAGAACTGGGATATTTCTTTTTTCTCAATCACAAGACAAATGAATGACATCTTTCTCTAATGGAAGGTCTTTTTTGATCTTTTAGGACTTAATGGATTTAGAAGAAGAAGCTAAATCAGATGAGGAGGAGGAAGAAGAGGAGGTTTGTGTACAATCAAGTGACAAATGACCTTTTGGACTCCCCTCTTGGGACCAAACATCAGTGAATTTGATGTAGCTGAGCTTTATTCCCTTTCTAGAAAATGGAAATTCTAATAAGCAGTTCTTTTGAAAGAAAACTTTTTACATTTTTTCGACTTGAATTTGCCCATTATTACCTATGTACAGCGTTTCTTCTAACCTGTATAACATGAGCTAATGATGCACATCCCAGTTTCACCCTGCTACTACAGCAACTCAGCAGTTGTCAGTGGTCAGTACCAGTTTCTATCCTGTAATGAAAACCATGCATATGATCAAGTATTTAGTTTTGCTTGACTATTTTGGGAAGTAACAATTGTAGTATGGTTTTGAACTTTGTTCATGTGCAGATGGATCTGGGGTGGAATACTCTTTTAAGGGGCTATTTCTTTTGTGTGTGGGGGGGGGGGGGTCTTTCCCAATTTTACAGTATCAAGCATAACTATGTAAGAATAAATTATGTCTTTTTTTAGTCTTCAGAATATGAAGAATACACAGATTCTGAAGAGGAAGGCAACCAAAGGTTTAAACCAGTCTTTGTGCGCAAGTAAGTTTTACACATGAGCTGTTATGATGAATTTAAAACACAATATTTCACAGTTGATTATTGAAAAAAATTTAAAAGGAGTTGGTTCTAAACAACCTGATTTTAGCAGTTAAGGTGGACAGGGTACAGATTTAACTGGCAATAAACTGGGCATGTCTATGTCAGGTCCGTTAAGTGCCTAATAACAGTCCTTGTGGCTTTGCTGATGTAACAACTGCTATATTGATTTTTTGTGGCCATATTTTATGTATAGATTTTTTATTCCGCAAAGTTTTTCATACTTTTCCAAGTTGATAAAAGGACCTTTGTTTCATTGTATCAAATCTGAAATGATTGATAAATGACACTTTTGTATTATCAAAAACCACCAAGCTAATGCAGACACCTTTTTTGCATTTAACAGGAGTGACAGAGTCACTGTTCAAGAACGCGAACAGATGCAGCTTGACCTTGAGCGCAAAGAGGAAGAAAAAAAGAAGGTTCACGAGGAAAGGGCAAAATCATCACGCAAGGTACAAATCCCTAACAGACATTTAGAAGTTTACAAGGGCACAGTGTCGCCCATGGTATAAATGTTGTTGCAGTTTTAGTGCAATATGTTTTATTTAAACTTGTAGAGGAAATGGAAGGGAAGAAATACATGTGTATGAACTGCAATTTCGGTAATTGCAGAAGAAAAGCACAAAAAATCAGGTTTTAAAATGATTCGAATCTGTGCCTCCAAGATCACTGGTACACGCAGCTGATTTCAATATTACTTGGTAAGTAGTATTGGTCTACCCCTCCCCCCCCCCCCCCCCTCAGTGATCAAAAAGTATTATCTCCTAACAGTATCATTATTCTTGAGCTGACAACAAATGACAATGAAGAAAACTACAAACAAGAGGATACTGTAGACAGGGGAAGAAAATGAAGATAATGAATTTGGTAATGAAAAACTGAAGCATCAAATTCTCTTCTGTTTTACAGCTTGTTGAGGACCTTCTTAGGAAAGAGTTACAGGAAGAACAAGAAGGTACATTGCTTTTGAGGCTAAGAAACCCAGGCAACTAGTGGCTGAGACTAATGGCAAGGACATATGGCACTCATTGTATAGTTTATGCAACATGCAACTTTCAGAAAAATCTTTCTCCCTGCTACAGAAATTTTACTGCAACAAGTCACAAAAGCAGTATGTCACAAACAAGTTTTGGAAACACTACACAGAGAGCACAGAGAGTATTTTGTCTTAAAGTTGTTTCGTTGCAAACTTGTTTTGTTAGAAAGACGTGTCACAACCTATTGCTGCCTCATGTGTGCCCCTCTCTTTGATGTAACGCTGCTCGTGTCATCAAAGGATGTTTATGTTAACTGAGCTATTTGTTGTTGCAGTGGAGAATGAGGAAGACATTATAATCACAGACGATGAAGATGATGAAGTAGAGGTATGGTGTCATGCACATTTTCATATCACTTACTGGCGTTGATCAAAATCTCTTTGTGAAAAATAAGGTTGCAAATCATTTGTGAATGGTCAAGTTTGCCATTTCGTGTCGTCTTGAACACTGGATTTGGACATTTGTAGTTATAAGCCATCCCTTTTCTTCTAATTACCAAGGTACTGAAACTACGATGAAGCATTTTTAAGACTTCGCATGGTGACAATTTAGTGAAAAGGATAGATACGAGGCAATAGCAATCAAATTCGTGGATCATGTAAATTTGGTTTAGTTGGTTGGGTTTCGTTCTGGTGTTTGTTTATTTTTCCTTTTTTTCCAGTTCATAACAAATGAATAGAAGGAATGAGGGATCTCTCACATTATACATATTACTTCCAATAAAATTTAATCCATTTTTAACTTAGCGATAAGCTGTAAATGGTCTTCTCTGGTGCGCATCTAACTAAAATATTTATTTCCTTCAAAGTACGAAGCATGGAAGGTCCGCGAACTAAAACGTATCAAAAGGGACAGAGATGAACGGGAACAGTAAGTACTTCTGTTGATTGAATTTCCCTAGAGTGGCATAGTCTCTTTTCGTATACCCTCAAAGCTCCTCTCCTCTTCTCTCTCCCCCCCCCCCGGAATATGATTGGGTTTCAGCAAATTGTCTGGGAAACTAGACGGAATATCGGAGGGCGGTGTCCCCTCCTCTTTAGCCTTTGTATTCTCCATGCTAGGAACACCACTGGACGGTTCTAAGTTTGACTGGTTTATCGAGAGTTCGCTGAAATTTGTTGGTTTTATCTCCAGGTTAGAGAGGGAACGGCTCGAGGCTGAGCGTCTACGCAGTCTGACAGAAGATGAATGGAGAATGGAAGTGAAGAACAATCCGAAACAAGTCACGAACAAAGCGATCAAAGGCAAATACAAGTTCTTACAGAAATACTATCACCGGGGAGCCTTTTTTATGGTGAGTGCACACACTTGTGGTGTTTTACAGCTGTATAGTGATTTGTTATGGAACTCTAACCATGCTACACGTACATTGTGCTAACTCATGATGTTCTTTGTTCCGAAGGACAAAGAAGATGGTGTGTACACGCGCGACTTTGCTAAACCCACGCTGGAGGATCATTTTGATAAAACAGTTCTTCCTAAAGTAATGCAGGTATGTATTAGCTGAACTTTGCATACTCCTTAAATACATGAGACCAAGTTCAAAAGAGAATGGAATGCAATTTGGTTTTGCTCGGGCTTCCCTTCATTGCATCAAGCGGTTGGTTAATAGACCTTCTTATTGGATCACTTGTAAAACTAGATCCAATCGCAACTTGTTTAGCCGCGTTGTTCCACACATCAGGCAGTTCTAATCTACCACTTTTAGTTTCCATGGGCTCCTTGTGACATTTTCCTTTGTCCCGAATTTCTCTTTTGGTTGCTAAATGGTTCTGATCAACAATACTTAATCGATTTGCACGCTTTAATTAGTTACCGCTTGGAAGACAATGGCTATGAGGGTGCAATGCCTGTTGACCTAAGATCCACGCCTTTGAACCTTGTTCAAGTTTAATTTTCTCATTCTTATCTAACTTGGTAATCAAAATTCTAAGTCAGGAGGAAGCCTGCTGTAAACAAGTCATCCACTAAGGAGGAAGGGGTAGTACTCCTGCAATTAGAGGCAAAAGCTCTTAGGATGCGAAGTAAATTGGCGTTCCTAAACGAAGTCTTTAGATGGTGGAAGTTTCCTTCAATTTAGAAGCGCCACCCACCCACCTTTGAAAAAAAAATTAAAACATGATAATGATAACAGGCTAGACTTTAGGCGCCGAGCTAGGTAGAGATAAGGCAACAGTGATATGAGGCAGGAGGGCAAAGAGAACCGAACAAATATTCAACTAGGTAGAGAAACAAATTGAGCTTCATAGGACTTCTTTCGAATGAGGTGAGTCACGTCATGATAGCAGTTACACCGTGCATCTTTTAAAAATAGGTTCACAAAGCACAGTAACCTGTACATAGCAACAAACAACGAGGGAATCCTGTAGAAAAGAAGAAACTTTGAACGCGAGTAGGTTTATTGACTATATGAGGAATGTTCTCCGTTGTAGGTGAAGAACTTTGGTCGATCAGGCAGAACGAAGTATACGCATTTGGTCGATCAAGATACAACACAGGTAAGTCTCACAGTTAAAACTTTCAATATGATTCATAAATTGAGGAAAAATAAAAAACCAAACTCTATATAGGATTTTTTTCATTGTATTCTAAAACAATTAACAACTGGGGTCTGTAGTCCCTGTGCATAAACTCCCCGTCAATTGTATCTCTAGTTCTACTCAAAGAAAGACTCGCCTTCTACTTATCTTGTATTGGGCATCAGTGAAAATCCACCTTCACGTTTAACCTTCGTCAGCATGTGGTCTAATTGCTCGCTATTGTTCTTTTCTTCCATAAAGATGGATTCGCCATGGACGCAGGAGAACACCTTAGCCATGAAATTCCACACGGTTCGCGCAGGTGGCAGTAAACAGACATTCCAAAGACCAAGCAAGAGAAGAAAATAATTTGAATGGCTTAACACTTAAGTTTATTTGTTCATCGTGTTCAGTTTGCCGCTGTCACAAATTTGATCAACAAAAAAGGTTGAGTTTGCGGTGTTAAACGCAGGAATACCTGTGGAAAGGTAGCTTCTAGTGGTCTCGTCCAGTGGCCAAGCGACGTTGCTTTATTGAAGATGCCCTGTGTAACAGTCTTTCTGCTTTCTCTTGACTGAGCTGGAGAAGTATGACCTGAGCATGTGCCAAACGCGAGTTGCGTGAGTGCGCGCGGAGAAAGCGAGGCCCATATTCTCATGTGACTCCCACTTTGCTGCAAGGAATCGGAGACCTCTCCCACGAGGGCAATGTGCTGTAAGATATTATAAACTGACTAGATGTGTATGCCAAAGACATTTGGAGACTCTAAGGATAATCTAGACACTACTTGAACAGTCTTTAGAAACTTTACTTTGGTGCCTAAGGATCATCTGGCTTTTGTAACATTTTCTCGACTCCTTGTGATATGTTCTAGTATCAAAACATCAAAGCAGTTATCCCGGTAAAGCTCATTTCCTTTTTGAACATATGGTGGAAAAAATAATAAAACATGGCTTTTTCAAACAGATATGCCGTTCATATCACTGACCGACCCAAATAGGGACGATGAATCATTCCTCTCCGTTTCGTGACCTGAGAAATCCTCACAGAAAAGAGAAAAAAAATTCACGCTGTCATATTTCCAAACTCCTGCAAAGCATGTTCTACTGTGTAAATAGAATAAAAACAAGTGCACATTTCATGCTAAAATGTGTCATCTTTCTTAATGTATTTCTTCGTTAAACTTTTGATACAGAATGTAGAATGTCGTCGGGAGTTTCTATAGCTTAGAATAGACAGCATAGTGCGCCGGTGCGCGAGTTCTTCAGATGGATTCCCAATAGGAGACCCAATTTTTTTTTCTTCCATGTTCTTGGCTAAACGATTAACATAAAACATTACATGTGTTATTGTTGAGTTAATGCATTTTAAGAGTTCATGCCAGTGTTTTAAGGAAACTTGGACTGATTCCAAAAGTTATCTTTATTCGTACATTGCCACTGAAGATTAGATTTTTTACGATTACAATTTCCAGATGGAGGGTCTCTGCTTTTGCCCTGGTTATGATAGTTCCTTAATGAAGGCTCAGTATTTTAGTTGGAGAAGATTCAAGTTTATTTGATTTGACAAATACCCTGACCGACGCTGGCAGGTTAATGAGGGCTTCTTCACGAGCTTTTCTCTTTATTCACACTTCAGTCTTGCCAAGAAAATTACAGTCGCATCGAGTAAAGTGTAATTCGCCGAGAGGACTACAACTCTTGTCAAGTTTTGTCGAAACATCCCTCTCCCCTTTCATTCCTTTCTCGAGGACCGAATTTTTTTGTTACAATATCGAAACAAGGTAAAGGAGGAGATAATTCGAGAATGGTGATGGGAATCAGGTCATGAAAAGACTCGTTAAATAAACTTGCACAGAAATTACTGTTAACAGACAAAGTGGTTGAAATGACTAGACGTTACTTCCTAAATCGAGGCAATGCTTCACGAATATCTGACCGACGACCTCTGAAAGAAATACCACTTTCCCCTAGAAGATTGCAACACAGTCACGTCAAAACGTGAGTCGTTAACTACAGCTGTGGTAAAGTAACCGTTTTGGGTCAAAATAAGTTAGACGAAGACTCACTTTTGGACGTATGTACAGTATGGATTTGAATAGTTTTTATCTCATTTGCATCTCTAATTTTAACCTGGGGTAAAACGGGAAATATTTTGACACTTTGACAAAGGCTACAGTAGAATGATATAACAAGTTAAGTGGTTGCTTTTTACTGCTACATCACTCGATTTGTTACGGTTATAAGTTTTATGAAATTTCAGAGTAATAGTTTTTGATGCTTGGCTCACGGGTCTGAGGACGCTACCACCATGCTTTCCTTAAGTTCGATGTCTTCCATCCGAATTTCATAAGGTCTGTCATCTGACGAGGAACCTTTGCTCTGGAACATGACTCGGTTTACTTGAAAAGTAAATTAAATAGGTTAGGTGTAAAGAAATGGGGAAAAGTAATGGCTGTCACACCGTCAACTGTACTGTTTGTTGCTTTGATTACTCTCCCAAACCTTTCAAACGCAGTACCCGAAGCTACTCCATGCCAAAATCATTCATAATAAAGGAACGATAGAGAAATGTCGAATGACATTTTCTCTCCAAAAGATTGGCAAGTTGGGTTATCGTAAAACTTTTCATCATATCCTTTAAATAGAAGGCCCGTTTTGATTGGGCGTTTTCTCCGTTATCCCCAGGAATTCCTGCTGAAATTTGAAATGGACAGAATAGCGCTCAGGTTGCTTTTTTCCACTTGATCAAGGTAAACCTTATGAAACATAACATGAAAAGTACCTTCGGTCCGTAAATGACAGTACACTGTTATCAAAAAAACAATTAGTTTTTGAGGATAATTAAAGGAAAACAGTACTATCAAGGAAGCAATGCGATGTGTTAGAACAACAGTCAGCTCTGTTGGTGTCGAGGGAATAAATGAGCGTATATATGAAAGACTTAAGGTGTTTACGAAGGATACATAAAAGAAAATTAGACATTTAACTGACTAAGAATATTCAGCACAAATTGATAATTGTTTAAGTGGCCTCTATTCGAGGCCGATTGTATATGTGGTACCTAAGGCTGGTGGGAGACATAGTTGTTAAATTTGAATATAATTTACTTACAAGATTTTAGTCTTGTCCGTCGTATTTTACATCGGTTTCTACTAGTGAAAGGAGCAGGGTTCTATTTCCTAAAAGTAGTAGCAGCAGTTTAATCTAATAGTATTCGAGGCAAAAATTAGAAAGATGTACTGCTTATGCCATCTACAGTAGAAGAATCGAGATAATTATGTTCACAAAAAAATAACATTTGTCCCACGTACCTGCACTTCCAGGGACATCACAGTCTGTTTGTGTTCCTTTACAAGTAAATGAGGTGTTACGCTCCCTCAGGACGGGGCTTGTACCACAGTTAAAGCTGTTACTGGTTGCTCCTTTTCTAGTTTGGCCGATATGCATACTCGAGGCCTGAGTTGTCAACGACTCATCCTTTGTTAGAAATTGATACATCTAAAGGCAAAATATGAAGAGATTTGCAGTATCACTCAGCGATAAAGAACGTTCTCTTTGTGACTATTAAATTTATTCGGTCAGTTTCACCATTTGCTATCATGTTAATTTCGTTATTTTCCTCCCTTTTCGTGACAGGTGCACATGACTATTTGGAATGAAAAGAGTTCTTATAACTTACTTTTGGTACAAAAACCAGTAAGAGTGTCGCAGTGGTACACACGATGAGACACAGCGACGAAACGGCGTAAGGTGCTTTATAGTACATGGATCCATCCAAGGCAATGGCCACTATAGCCCCAATGATGGAGAGCACCACCACGTTGTAAACCGACATTCCGATGTATCGGGAGTCGTTTAGAGCAGGAATGGTAACATTACGTGTTTCCCAAGCCAGGAAGAGCCCAAACAGCAGGAGAATTCCTTTGTAGCCAAACAATACCCCAAGAAAATATGTCTTGTATCTACAGGTGCACTGGAATAACGCAGGGATAATGATAACATCTTGTTCTTTTTGTGTCTGTTAGTAGAAAACACAAAAAAGACATAACAAATCTTTTTTGGTACAAGATATCTAGATCACGATATTCATGGTTTTACGACAAGGTTACGTTTCTAAATTAGAAACTAGGCGATTTTTTGAACTCGAAGAAGAGTGTCATGTATTTGTTCGACGAGATTGAAAAACATGGGAGAAGCAATGATACATTAATGAGAAACAAGGATGGCTACCGAAAGGGCGATAAAAAGGATCGCAAGTGACGAGATTAAGGAATTCAGCCAGAGTTTGGAAGTTGAACAAGTTGCTACCTCGATCTTGTTTAGGCGTTTGTTGGCCTATCGATACACTGAACCTTCTTTATTACATTTTCTACTTCAAACATTGGGTGGAAATTAACGGTAATTGGAGTTTCCAAGGTTCCGGACTTGTAACTTTGCGGAACAAAGTAGGGCACGAACAAGAGAAAAAAAAATGGAAAATTTATTTTAAGTTTAGTCGATGACTTATATATAAACACACCATTATTCGTTGCGTTGACAGAGATGTAACTGTATTGTTGTTACTCACCAACTCTTCGAAGCGCAATATTTCGGTTTTAAGAGGATCAATTGCTACCCATGTGGATAAGAATACTAAGTCTACCAACAATAAACTTGCTACAATGACAAGCAAATGAAAATCCCTTATTGCCTGTGAAAGAAAAAATATGTTTCAGATTATAAGAGTTCACAATCTGTTATCACAATTTTTGTACTTATATTGTTAAAGGAATTGGTAGCCTATTTTTTGAGTCGCGTGTCAAACTAATTTATTCTTCGAACAACTGGTGTAATAGGATATATTTTTTAGGCGTCTCCAACTTACAATTATCGCAATTAATCTCACCATTTTCTTGAGAGTCTTAGCGGCTGTAAAAATCTTGTGAACCCGCCAAGTCTTGCTGAACATGGCACCAAATGATAAAGAAAAACCAAAGGACAGTACTGTAGTTCGCGCCTGTTGATGTATTTATGAAAAGTGGATCAATTTTGGCCTGTTCGAAGAACTGAAGAGATAGACTTACCCATTTATTTTTTTTGGGTCATGTGGAAATGAAAGCTATGCATTACCTAGTAAACAACGGTTTGCTAATCAATCCGCTAAATCTTTAAAACATTTTTCAATAACTATTGACCATGCAGCAGAAAATGAGCTTGCACAGATAGGAATTGTAATAAAGTATACTGTATAATGTATGACTCTTACAGAATAATGTTCCTACATCTGATGACCTAAGTTTGAGCTTACTGGTTGATTTTCCTGTAAATGTCGTTTCCTTTTTTCCAGTATAGGAAACCCTTAATGGAATATCAACAACGGAAATGATGTAATGCTGTTTCAGGAATAACTCCCACGAAATACAGTAAAAGGCTAGCTCACATTGCAAATGTATCCGTATTCTCCAATATCAAGAAACCTCGCATCTAATCCAAGAAGAACAACCGAGGCGTAACAAAGTATACATCCCAAGATAATTATGTTATTGAGCTTCGGCGACGACATCTTGATAACTCTATATAAAACACATGGAAAAGCACAAGGTTGTTGTCTTCAGCGATGCAACTGGCTCTATTGATGGCCATTATAAAGTAGAAAAACGAAAGGGGTGTGAGGGGGGAAAAACCAATTAGTTAAGGTTTTCTTTCTCAAACGATTTATCGTTCGTGGGTGATATGCAAGGACGTTAATGCTCGTAAAGAAAACTGAGATAAATTATCGCATGAGACCTGATGGGGGAACTTTCAAAAACGACGAAAAAAGGCGACCTTTTCGGGCTAGGAGAATGTTTCAATTCAGAATTTATTTCCGTAGCAAACGAACTTATTTAAGTAAAATAAAAATACCTAGTCTTTTTATTCTAGGTATCGAAAGGGGTGCCACGTTTCTATGGCAGTTATTTGGGCAAAGGATTACTATGAAAAACTTTGATAAAGTCGAGTATCGTCATTGATTTGATAACTTCCGAACAAGTGGCATGGTTCCCATGCTCGATAAACCCTTTGGAGAAATGGCGACATAAGCTTCATACAAGATGAAATGTTATTACCGAAACTTTCCTCGACTCCTGTCAGCTCTCTTGATAGAAATGAAATAATGACACTGTCGACTCAACTAATTATTTGCTCATGTTTTCGCCACCTGTTATGATAACTACAGCCTTTCACTAATCTTTTCGTTTTCTTACTTCTGTCTGTCAGTCAAGATTTCTTTAGTACATCAGCCCACCTCAGCTAATTCAAAGCAATTAGCCAAGTGTTTCTTAGGTTAGAGAGAAGCATTTTTTTTTTAAGTAAGCCGGCTATAGATTTAAACCATCTGTTTGGAGCGCAACCTCTATTGGTCAACACACACCCTAAAATTTCCTTCCATTTGATATTACATATTAAGTGATGTTATTATGTTTTATTGACTTTTGGACGATGTTGTTACCTATGCTTTCGGTTGCTGATGTTGAAATATAAAAACCCTGCTGAGCAGATGATTCCCACCACTGCCATAAGCCACATGATTACTATAAGAGGTAGCGGGATTATCATGAACTCAAAATTTCTGACAGTGTCGTCCTTTGGTATCTTATCTGAAAAAGAGAAGCAGGCTTAATTTAGAACACTGAAATTTTTGAAATATATATCTTCACCACAGCACTCTCAAAGATCGAACAAAGCGATAAAGTTAATACAAAATGAATCATGAAATATTTTGCGTCTCAAATCCAGACCAAATGGTTGAGAAATCCTGCATTTTCAATGCCACAATTCTCTCAGGTAGCTTTATACTTCTTTTCTCTCTAATTAATGTTGTATGGCTATAAATGGTATCGCTTTCATGAAAACACGATGGTAAGAGGAGACAAGGAAGCTCGTTTAGAATACTGTTGCAAAGTTGAGAGCCTGATATTATATGAGATTATAGCAAATGAATTACCAGGCCATATTTCTTTTTTTTCATCTTTGAAGATGTGGAGTTGATCTGAGAACGTAAAATGTTGACCAATTCTGGTCTCATTTCCTGAAAGATAAAGACCCAATTCCAAAGTTTTAGTAGCGATAGAGAAAGCATTGTAAAAACGATTTCATATAACTTTTGTTAGTCAATGGTTTAAGCGGCTACAATAATCTTCGTCGTGAACACCTCAAGGGAGATACGTCCCTCCAATAATTATCTTTTGAATGTTTGAAAAGTCGAAAGCGGATTTCCTGCCATCCACGAAAGGTATTCATTTGACTATGTAAAGCGAGCGACATTTGAACGTCTTAATTACACACGTATATAGGGCTAGCAGCTTTACTGACTTTACTACTTCCCGATGGGTATCGCCATGGCTTCTTAGTAAGCTATTAAGAGGACACTCTTTTAGAGGGTGTTTCAGCCAGAGAGTCGAGGACACCGCTCTCTTACGCTCCCTTTTCGCGCAGATACTCCTTTGACGTACCTTTTATACAAACGGTATTCTGTTTCAGGTTTCAGTAGTTTGTGCTTTTGCAAGCCATTGCATGTGGAAGGTCGTTGAATACCTTACCTGGACCTTTCATGTTTTTTTCTCTTTAAGAGTTGGTAAATGTACCTTTCCTGTTCTGTTTGATAAGAACTGTTCCCAATCGCTCTCTGTTATCTTCAAAGCGAACTGGACCCTATCGAAAGGAAAATATAGCCATGAGTTTGAAATCATAATTAGAGCCGGGACAAATTGACAGCTATTTTGTTCTTCTTGTCAATAAGCTCCTCTCTGTGCTTTAGAAATTGATTGATTGAAATGTTGAGACTAACCAAATACTTCGCGTAAGGAATTAACATAATTCATTAGGGGTAGAGACAACATTTCTTACGACATCTGAACTCAGCGAATTGTCCAAGTATATGCACTTTCTAGGATTAATTTTTGACTTTTTCACGGGAAAACCATCCAACCAACAATCTTTTTTTTTAAAGGGGTACGTTCCTAGGTAAACTGTGGTGCTGCGTCCGTGGGAGAGTATAACAGGGTAATTTAGTGTTATCAAATGAGTTGAAAACGTAAATTGACCGCCGTAAAGAGTTTAAAGGCTGAAGTTTCGAGCGTTAGCCGTTCGTTAGAACGATTGGAGGAATTGTGGGTTTTGTGTGGGTTTACATGCAGAAAATGGAGCTATGCTGGGAATATGGTGACGAGAAAACAAAAAATAAATTTTTGTTCTTGAGTTTTGCGGCTTTCCGAACTGCCTAGGTGTGGGGAAAGACCGCAAACTACCATATGCTGTTTAGAGTGATTAGGGAGATTAAAGTGTCTAGAGACTGATTTGAATGCATCCATGTCATTTCTTTCTACGTCGAGAAGTTTTTCTCGGAATCGGTCCCCTAGTCGTCTTCCTATTTCCGCAAAACTCTAGAACAAAAATTTATCGTCCAAATCGGCACTCCTAATTCCACGGCATCAACAAGCGCTTTTCATTCAACTAATTTCATCTTGTTTTCTCGTCACCATGTTCCCACCAATAGCGTAGCTCCATTTTTTGCATATAAACCCACACACAACCCACAATTTCACCAATAATTCTGAAGAAGAGCTAACGCTCGAAATGTTAGCCTTTAAACTCTTTACGGTGTCCAGTTTACGATTTCAACTTAGTCGATAACACTAAATTACCCTGTTATCGTACGGGATTTGAACCCATGACTTCTGCGATACCGGTGCATTACTAAATTACCCTGTTATCATTTTTTATTTTAGCCTGACATCAATGATTCGGTAAGACCAAACTTTTACTCACAGTAAGTCCTTGAAAACTTATCTTCCTGATAAGTTGTTTCATCCCAAGAGGATATTTGTAATCTGGCGTGTGGAGGTTCTCGTACTCCAATCCATTGGCGAGGGAAGCGTTCAGTGTTAACGCGATTATCCATGCTACGTCAAAGGCGTACGCAGATTCTTTTCTGAGAGACTTGTTCTTATTCAACTTGAGCATTTCACTCCAAAAACCTTCCGCAGTCTGCGGATAGATAAAAAAAATGATATACAGCTCTTAATTAGGTTACTAATCATGGCACTAGGACTGGTAGCCGTAGAGGCTTGTTTCCCAATAATTAATGACTAGGGGAAAAACTGTCCATGCTGTTTTCGTTTAGATCTACTTGGATAAAGGTGCCGACGCATTGCGATGTTTAAAAGTTTCAAAAGAGTTTCTTCTCTACAGGTTGGTTAACGGAGAATACAATGTAACTAAAGCAACTTAGCAATTGCCAGAACGTACCATTCCAGAGAACGTTACGTTGTCATCTTGGCGAATATCTAGCTTGACCATCGATATGTAACGATCAGCTGCTTGCCTCAGCTCGTCAACTGTGCAGGGAATCTTTTCTTTGTCTGGTGATCGAAATATTTGGCTTGGTGCAACATCGCCAAATGTTATCCAGGCATAGTTCGGACCATACATTTTTTGCTTAAAAGCCTGCAAAAAAATATCAAACACAGGTAGAGTTATAAACTTCAGGTGAGGTTAGCTCTGGGGCTTTTGTGGAAAAAAAAAAAAAAAGCCAAAAGAACAAGACTTTAAGAGGTATTTTACTGAAGGCTCCTCGAAGTGATCTGAATAGAGATCAATAAATAATGAGAAAATGATCAGTTGAAATCGTAGGAAAACTCTCGTAATTCCTATCGCGACTTCTTTTGTAGCAGGACTTGTTTTGTAGCCTCTAACTGGCGTTTAGATGATTACTCCACTTACCTCACAAAAGACGTTTTGGGCTCCGACGTAGCCAAACTCGCCTATTATGATTCTTGCATCTAGAGACTGATTTGGAAAGAAAGAGTAGACTCAGAGCAAGCCAAAGATGGAGTGCCCCGTTCCGATTGCGGCATCGGTTTCTCTCGTATATCTCACAGTGGTTATCCCTGTAGCATTATAAACCCTACTCCTAATATTGCTTGCGTCAAGTTCCATTAAACCTGACGTACTAAATTACCTAGTTTGGAGCGTTTTAAAAAATGAATTTCAGTCAATTTTAGCTATGTAGTTGTAAGTGCCTATTTATAGGGATTTGTAAAAGTGTTTAACAAGGTACTTAAGTCACCTTGAGTTTCCGTATTTGAAAACTGACGTCGCCAAGCTGTTCAAATCCCTCCACTGCAATGATGCTGATATTGTTTTTCTTCAGTTCATTTTTGAGCTTATCCACCGTCTGCAGATATACAAATAGAGAAAATAAAGACTGACTTTTTTCGTTTCTCGAAAACTTCTTTTTACATTTTGGAACTCTCTTTTATTTCCCTCGTACAGAGGACTGTGAACATTCTATGGTGACTTCTGTTTCATACATATCTAGGTATGTCGCAAATTGATTCTTGAGCTGTCTCCGAGGGTTTAACGTGTATCAAATTAGCGGGAAAGGTATCAGTCTCTAAATCTCTTTCGATATGATACCCATTACGTATCAGTAAGGAAAAATAAAAATAAAAGAAAGGAGAAAATAAAAAAAATAAAAGACAAAGTAAATGATAAATTGTTACAAATCATTATATCCGAGGTTGCAGAGTTGAAAATGCCTTTACTATCACCTCGGAAAGTTGCTTCTTGGCCAGCAGTTAACCTTCCCCTCCCATATTTTTTCCCTGAGATATTTGTTCAGAAGAACAATGTAAGAACTTACCGGGGAAAAGAATTCTGGATCATACTGATAGAGTATAGCCACTCTTTTCCAGCCAAAATATTTGATAAAGGCCACCTTAGCCTTGCTGTATGACGTTGACGATGGAGCTCCTCGATAAGTGTTGCGATATTTCCCTGAATCAAATTTTGGAGAGCCTGACGCGTAAGAAACCTACATAAAAGAGGAAACCAGTCGGCTTTAACATCTTCCTTAAATTATGTAGTCCGACTTTAAATGGACTGCGACGATTAAAAGTACAGAGGTGTTTTGTTGTTCATACAATTACAAGTCGCACTCTGCAGATTGCAGCGATTGCAGATAGTAAATCTCAGACTTGGAGTCTGATTCCATTCAGGAGTCTGTTTTTTTTTTGTGTACTCTTTCTTCTATGTTTATGTAACAGTTGGTTTTTGTCACTCTGTAAAAGGAGTCCTAGAGTCTGATGTGTGTAGTCAGCTATCTACGGGTGTCGTTCAAGGTCCAGTTGACGAAGGACGTTTGCTAAATAAATAATTGGCACGGCCAACTATTTCCGTCTGGTAAGATCTTGTTCTGAACTCCTCCCAAGGGGGCAACATTTTTAAACCAAACCTGAATGAGCTTCCACAGTGGCGCAGCCTCTGCCACAGGCTCTAAGGCCTCTGTACTTGAAGGTCCAAGCAATATTGCAGGTCTCCTTTCCTTGTTTAGCAGGTTGTAGAACGCCTTTATGGCGTATGCACCATTGTCCTAAAATGATAATGATTGGGAATGGTGCTCTATTAAAAATACCAGATAACTTAGTTGGCCGTAAACAAGTGATAGCAGAAGCTGTTCTTTTCTCACTTTGGGCTGTTAGCTTCTGGAACTCATCCAAGCAAAGGAGCCGATGTGCGGGAGCTCTTATTTTCATTGCCTACTTAAATCAACCCATTTAATCTGATTTAATTTCAGAGCGAATATTTCCTTCGAAAGTCTCATATCTTCATTAAGGCTGCTGCGAATCGCAAACTGATTTCACCACTCAATGCTTTGGTGCGGATGTTTGACGTAAAGCAATTTGGACTATCATAGCTCTGCTCCATCAACAAGAAACTGCTCGGGAAAAGAGAAAAAAGCGGAAATAGAAAAAAATCACTTTCTCCAACGTATTCTTTATCAAGGCTTGAACTTGTGTATAATTTACTTCTCTTTTCCTCTGGAGTCTATAACCTGCCGTCACATCAGTCGTATATCTTTTGGCTATATCTAAATATAATCGGGCACCTGCCTGAGGTGCGTAACTCAAACCACGACACGTTGAATATTCGTGGAATCCATTCATAATTTTTCAAGCAAAGCTTTTGAATGCTGCTTCTGTGCTTTCAGACGCTAATTAGGCGTGACAGATTTAAGATATGGAATTTGCAGACACCTTCACCATTTTTATTTTAAGAGACTAAAAGAGACATAGTGCACATAGTGTGTTGTTACAAATCTTATTTTGAAAGTCTTATCCTTGATGCTTTGCTACTTTCCATGCAATGGCAGTAAATAGTCATTCTTTTCACCTCTACCAAAATGTGTTGAAGATTAATGCAATAAAGGTTCTAAAGTATTTTCATGTGAAGGAAGACTTGTTTAAACAGGTGCTGTACCTTTCTTCCGTCCATTTTTTTTTCAATTTAATAAAGAGATTAATATTCTTAGAAATCAAAAGAGCCGATAAAAAAATTCAGAATATATTTGACTTTCCTGGAACAAATTAATACATTTACCTTAATGGAAGGCTATCAGACGCCAAGATTTAACTCTCTGGACGGAAATGACCACTCAACCTTTTCTCGCACGCTTTAGATGATCTAGATGGAGAGTCTGGAGCAATAACCCTAAATGTTGTCGAATTTTTCTCAAGTCTTTTTACTTTTCCTTAAAGACAAAACTTTAGTTTACGAAGTGTTATTTCGTTACAATGCTTTTACCATCAAGCAAGCAGACAACTCAGAGACATATGATTGTTTTGTTTTTGGACTAAAATCGATTCCAAAAGTCACGTTCTAGTTTAAATTAATTTGTTCGTACATCACGTACCGGAACTTTAACTGCAAAGGGGAAGGTCAATTTAAAAACATTTTCAGGAAGTCGCCTTCGAAACAGTCCTCGGATCTAATTTGAGATGATTGAAGGACATGTAGGACACAGAATTAAAACAGGGGTAAGATTTGCCTCATTCTCGGTTTCCACTTATGAAATTTTTATTGTCCTGTCCTTAGTTTGTTAATCTTTAATTTAGGGAAAAAGAGCCATTGTTCCACTGAAGAAGACCAAAAAATTAATAACAACACTATAAGAAGTCTAGATAGAAGGAAAATAGAGATAGCTTTCAAAAAGTATTGAGAAATTTTAAGTTCGCTTCCATATCTTAGCCTACAAAGTTATTTAGGTTGAGTGACTTTAAGGATCGAAAAGGGTTATCTTTAGTATGTAATTTATGTTGGTAAAGGTGGTTGCAATCTTGTGTATCACTGGGTTGGGGGAGGGGAGAAGGGAGTCACTGAGAGACACAGAGAATGCCATTCGCAGCTTCCAGGTTTTCATTCAATTATACATTTAGCTTTCGGTGATTGGGAAAACCGGAGCGGAATAAATCTTGGAAATAAAGCTTTTTCGTGAGGAATTAACTAACATTTGAAAATTGGAACTTTGATTAATAGAGAATCTAAACTGAAAAAGCGAAAAAGATCTCTCTAACCGCCAAGAAGGAAGAGAAATTAAAAAAAGTTAGCTCAAAACCTTCGTTGTATTTATCATTCAAACTCAAACTCCTCCGCCACCTGGTCAATTAGAGAGACTGTATGTGTACAGAGGTGCAAAGATATGACTGACAGAATACTGATCATCGGATAGTCGCCTTTTTCAACAAGCAGAACTGTCAATATAAATTTAATTACTCAACAAAAGAAATTGAAATTGAATTACGGGTAAATATAATACAAATTTGTGAAATATTCCAGACTTTGTCCAATTTAGTTCCTTCTACGTCCGTGGTTTTCTCAGAAATTCAATGATAGGGATGGATTTAATTCTTTTCTATATTTTTTCGGATGCAGGTAAAGAGGGGGTTAACAACTGAGAAGCACATAGGTTGAATTAAAAAAGTAACGAATTATTTACGGGTTTAGAAACATTTTAATTAACAAGGCCATTGTGCCAAAATCTCTGAGAGGTTTAAATCGATACTCGGGGTGCTTTTTAGTTCATGTTGGCTGTAATTTCGGAGTGCATGCTAAAAAGATATTTTGAAGATTCCGACATGAATTCTCAGCCATCATTGATAATTCTTCATATCTCACCAACACATTCTTATCTCCATGAGTGTTACAATAAAGAAAATCAGGAAGAGTCCTTAAATATATCGCTTAATGTAAATTTTTCGGTGCACTATTTTCGCAAAAAAACAAAAAAACATTGAAAGCTTCGCAGGAATTCTGATAAAAACGATGTAATACACTCACCCAAGCAGTATCCTCCACGTCCAACACCAGTGTATAATTTTGCAATATATCAGATCTATTATTAATGATGTCGATAGCCATCTTCATAGCATTATAGTGACCGTTTCTATCATCCTTTAGGAAAGGAACGAATGCTCCTATATGTATTTCTCTCTTCCCCAGAGGTATGATACTCTCCATTGGATTTTCTCGGCATGGCTCCAACAAAGTTGCTTTAAAACATGTTTTCTTCGACATTCCTCGTACACAATGGCCAGTTACTGCCGTATTCGCTGTGCTATTCATCTCTGATGTTTCATTCCAGCAGCGAAAATCACTTGTGTTGGTTAATTTCTCACAACAAAGTAGTTCCGAATTCGTCTCGAGATGTGGATGGCAAAAAACATATTGAACCAGAATTACAAGATGGAAGAAAAATCTTGACCTTCTTTTCCCCTTCATTGCTGAAAGATAAAATGAGTAGAAGAGGTTTCGGAGAGTTGTCTAAAATCTTGCCTTTCACATGACAAACTTTATTTCGAATACAAACGTTCAAATTAAACACGACAATTGAGGTGACCCTCATTATGCACAAACTGCGTTTACCTTTTCAAGCCATTAGGGGCTAAAAAATACTAATCCTTGATTTGCCAAAATTTACTGAGACCATTTCTCAGTCATTGCTTCTAATTTGTTTGTCTCGTATTGATAGGAATAACATTTTGCCATTCTCAGAGATCTTTTCCTTCAATGATACGTATCTATTTTAACTTTGCAGGAAATACTAAATCACGTTCACCCTTGACGTATGATATACGGCTTCAGATTGTATGAGAGTTACTTAGCGCCTCTTTCAAATTAACATAATAAACCCAGTATTTTCATCATCTTAAGAGCAAATTTAATTTGCCTAGCGGAAGAACTTTGTGAGATTTGCCGCACACAGTGCATGTGTATAGACTTAATCTCTCTTTTCTGTAATAACAAAGGGTTTTAATTTCTTCTAAATCCAATTCTATTTAAATCAAAAGCGAGATTTTGCGATTACTCTGGTTTGAACTATGACTGTCCTCGTGACATTTCGTTAGAACTCCACTAAAATATCTAATAGAAGATTACTGATTTTCATTTGCTTCCTTTGAGAGATACTCGTGCAAAAATCGACAAATTTTGCGGTTTGTACGATCATCATTGAGAATTCGTGATCACAGCAAATGTGTATGATATATTTCTTCTGAGTAACGTCCTATAATTATTTGCTAAATATTGCGGTACGCATTGAGAATAAATTTAGTCTTGGGAAGCGCGTATAACTACATATTTCTTTCGGGATATTCTTCATTAATTTTCATTAACTTCTTGTTTTCCTTAAATGTAGGGTTATACCAATTCATTCAATTTATTCAATTTCTCCCTATTTCACGGGAATCAATTTAGGGAAGACTTGGTTTGCTTTACATGACCAGAAACTTTTGAATATCGAGAAATTTATCATACGCACATGTGTTTTTGCACAAGAATAACATGGAGTAAGCAAGTCATATGTATCACGCAAAACTGCATTATAGAAAACACTTGTAATGTCATCTCTCAAATATACATCCGACATATGAAGGAACATGCACTCACCTCTGAATAAGCATTAAACTAACCGTTACTAATTTTAAAAGAGCTTTAAACGTTGCGTTCCAATTGTTATAAAAGTAAAGCTACCTCTGTTTCTTCACGACGGAAGAGTGAATGTCGAGTGTTCGTGAGCAACCGGGAATTGGCTATAATCTATGCTGTTGGCTCAGTTAATCTTACATGATAAAGAAAGTTTCTTCTTAGAAAGACGCCTCATACTGTAAGTTTCGCTGCGATAGTTCATCTTCACAGGAAGCTCTTGATGAAATAGACTTAAAAGCGTTGAGAGGAACCCTGATAAATAACTAGCTAAGAAAATAAAAAAGGGTTATTAAAAGTCTTTTTGTCGCTCTTACCGGTAACTTTTAATCTCTAAGATCTGGATGAATTTAGAATGATTCTCTTTTGTGCGTTTAGAATTGCAATCGGAATAAAACAACGAGTGATATCGAGGGATTAGTTTTCGAATAATTTGTCTAAGGCTTTGATAGCTGATGTAAATATGAGCTACTGCTATTCAAGATGAACTTAGGTTTATCAATTTTTTGAAGTTCCGGGATTTTTGAATTAACAGAGAAGTACAATATGTGTATAGAGAAATGCTATCACGTTTTCAATACGAAACAACGACAGAAAGTAAAAAATCGCCCAAATAATTTCTAACATATCTCTTAGTTGAGTTTATTTTGGAAGTCAGTTTTTATTTTAGCGTGTGTCAATGACAGTGAATCTTGTTTTCTGAACAGAAATAACTACTTATATTTAACTGAAATTGTCTCTATTATTGTGCAATGAGGAAACTGTAGGGGGAAATGAGACAAAAAGCTGAAGGAGTACTGGAGAATGAAAACTTTATAATACAAAGCTAAGTCTCGGTAATATGTCATTTGTTTCCTAAAAGTCTTGTTAATCTGTATTTATTGCGTTTGGCCATACTGATCAGAAAACTTTTGGTCATTTAAATCGGCAATCTTTATTTTACTTAAAATTATGATTCTTGGAAACAAACATCTACTTAACAAACATATACTGAACAAGTACGCGTGAAGGATAAGGAAAATCTTGATGAAATTGAAGATCAAAGACTAAACGTACCAAATATACGTATGAAGGAGAAGACAAACTTGCATAATTTAAGATATTGGAAGGTAATCGATAGAAATTCACAGTATTGATTAGTAAATGGGATCGAAAAATTGTAGTGATCAAAAAGAGCTAGCGGATACCATAATCATAATGAAGCATGTTAAGTCGAGGCCAATTGATGACAAAGATCATGTAAGATAAATCGTATGATAAGTTAATTTGTGTAATTCAAAGATTGCATGCGTGTCATGATGTAAACCAACCCGTCGAGAAACTTTAACAAAGTACTGTTTTTCCAGGACAATTTGGTCACAATATCGGGTGATACTTCACCCTATTCAAGGCTTCAATCTGCTCAAGAAATCGGGTTCCTAAACTTTAAAATTTTAAAGGCACATCTGAGAGTGACGATGCGGTGGGCTCTATCCAGTAGTCTTGCTTTATATAGAAGGGAGATCCACCATATACTGTTTTCTGACCATTTTCCTCGCCTAAGAGTTCTCTTAGAACTTACTGTTTCATAACTTATGCATTCACTTTTCCTTTTGTAGATATTTATGTTTCTGATCTGATAAATTTTGTTAGTTAATTGGATCACAACCCACATGAAAGTTCGCCTAACATCGTACTTCAAAAGCTTTTTCGTTCGAACCTACCTTGACGTTACATGCAAAATATTCTTGATTTTCCAATGCTATTCATAGAGTGGATTTTTCTTTATCTATCAAATCGCATTCAATTTTGGCTTGCTAAGAACCTACGACCTACGAGGATTATACTCACTCTTAAATTTGTTTTAGGTTTTAAAAATTGTTGACGAAGCTTGCAAAAAAATTCATTTGTCAGACTTAGGGTCGTGGTTATACGTATATTAGTTGGCATCTGGACTCCAATAGCCCTCATTAAATCGTGATTACTCTGGGCAACCAGTACTTTAAATCTATCATTTAGTGAGCCGTTAAGGCAATGAATAAAAATAAATAAGATCATTTTTGTTGTATTTTTCGAGAAAAAGAAAACAAAAGGGAAAAAATCATTAAAGGGGTTGCAATTGCAACATTATAATTTGATCACAAGGTCGAGATAGAATTCGATGTAGTGTTGAATGATAAAGAACAAAATTGCAAACACACCGAGGATCAGTTATGTTTGACATTAGAATATAAATCTTTAAGACTCACTCGCTTATGTTCTGTCAAGCATAAAATGGTTAAATCTGTGCTACATCACTCTTTGAGCGATCCGAATAAAAGCCTTCTCTTTGAGGCCGGCGGAAAAGTGTGACCAGAAGTACGCTTGATGGAAAAGCTGAAACTGTAATTATTTGCTGCCGTTTGTAATTATATCATTGGATACTGCTAGAGGGGTAGCCAGCCTACAATCCCGTAAACCTGGGCCTGAAATGTTTTTTCCCGCCCGCTTGAAATTTATTAAAGGACTCTTTCAAAATTTTTGTGACAAAAATGGAACTTTCTAGCTATGCCCCGATAGCTTACCGAATATAATTTCTCACCACTCACTGGGAACACTTATTGCAAGTTCAAAGAGATGCTATTTCATTCTACTTAATAGAAGTGTTCTTTCAGACTCCGAGTTTAGATAGTCGAGACTCGCAGTATTTTATAATTGATTTATGTTAAAATGTCTAAACTTGTCCTGTCGACCAAGAAATGTAAATTTCACAACCTCGTCGCCCATTTTTCACCCCAACAGCTAGTACAATATGTCAGTGTAGACTGCGACAAAAAAAAAGAGAAAAAACTCATAACTGTCTAAAGCTGGAAAATATTTACCTGAGTCCTGTTGGAGGAACGAATTTTACGTTCTGTTTACGCGGTAAATTTCATCCCCGTTAGCCAGCTGAGATTTCAGCGCAGTCACTGTCAATATATATGCAGTGTAAGAGACTTTAAATCGGCTTCCTGACGAAAATTTCAAAGGCGATATGTTAGAGTTCATCAAGTTTTATCCCAGTCAAGACAAAATTAAGTTTTCACATAAAAAGACATTTTGGGCCGAGTTCATATGCAAACTTTTTACAACAAGAAGGATGGTGATGACACCTAATCAGTGAATACTAAATATAATCCATAGACTTAAAAACTCAAGGACGCAGGTATATTTTGAATTATTAAATTAGCAAGATATTGAAGTAATTTAAAGCTGCATATGTGTTTAACATATCCAGACTGCAAATAAACGGACGTTTAGCAAAGTTTTGCGCAAAATTTGTAACATTAATTTCACACATATGTGAAGGCATAGTTCCAGAAGAAACAGGTTCTTCACTTTAATTGTTAAGGTGTGACAGCGAGAGACAAGTCGGTGGCTTTCAAATTTATCTTGTCTGACTAACTTGGGTTTTGTTTGTGTGATTCTAAAAACCATGCTTGTTGACCAAGGTAGACTGTGTTGACCATGTGCGTCTTTGTGATGACACCTCGGGGTTTGCGATGTAAAACATCAAAAGCCACTTTCGAAAAACGTAACCAAATAAATCAACATGAAATTCAAAAGAACGCAGACGTTTACGAATCACAGATTGTCTCATTTGCAGCTGTTGAAGATAAGATTTTCTTCTAAAAACTAATTTTAATAAATACGCGCGGCTATATACAAGAGTCTACACGAGCTATTTCGCGAAACTCGTATTTCTAATTTCAAGTTTACTTCCAAATTTTATTTGGTCAGGAAAGAAAAACAAAAATAATCTCTTTCTTGCCTACGTGACTTGTGTAAGACCAGTGGAGTCCTAGGTTTCTTGGAATAAACATGATAAAATGAATAATTATTTTGTAAGAAATCCAAAAAACTTTTTTCTCAATTGAGATGAAGCGGTTACGAAACCAAATGTTATAAATTTGCTTGGAGATTAAATTGTTTTATATAGAGTTATGATTAAATTGTTTTCCATAAATCTCTTTAAAAGATAAAAATATTACCAAGTTTAAGCTCTTCCTGCATTTTATAAGTAGAACAATGCTTCCTTTAGATTTATAGGAAATTCGTCATGGTAAGAAACACCCCTGAGGTC